CTTACATATGCAAATTAACCGCCATTTTGTTGGCAGTTAACTGTCAATCTTAGTTGGCAGTTAACTGTCAATCTTAGTTGGCAGTTAACTGCCAATCTTAGTTGGCAGTTAACTGCCAATCTTAGTTGGCAGTTAATTTGCATATCTCGCTGATTAGCCAATGAAAAGGGTATCGGTCGTACGCCAATTACCATTTTTCTCTTTTATTATATAGGATAATTAGGTTGAAGTCCATCATTAGTGATGGTGGATAAAAACCCACATTTCAAACTATCTTTAAAATTCAACTTTTTGGACAAGTTCTTGTCAGATTGGTTAATTTGTCAAGAGTGGCTGTCAAAGATCTCACATCAGCATAAAGAGAAAGCTGGCTTTCCTAACTCACCTTTATTTCCTTGAACACCCCACCCCCTCAACCTATGCCTCTTTTATGAAACTATTTTTAGACAATTGCCCTTTTATGAGGCTTAATTAACTGTGATTTAGTTAATAGGTGATAAAGGCCACAAATATACTTTACTGGATGTATATACACTAAAATACAAACACTAGACAACTGATTGCCTTTTGCCTGTCCTCCATACTCCCTGCACGCCCCAATATCTTCTCACTTACCTGAGCACATAACAGTATATACTTATTTGTATAACTCCCCCAGTAGACTAGAAGCCTTTGAAGATCATAATTCTAACTTAACCGTTTTTTTAAGTTTCATGTCTATCATGGCACCTGGCACATAGACATTTGCTCTTTTGCTATTAAATTGAATATTCTATTAAAGCATTGGTTAGCCAAGAGTGATCGCCTCTTCAGTCCTGATCCTATTATTTAAGAAACCTACTAACCCACAGGAAACAGGATATTCACTGGTAACTTTGAGTGAAAAGAAAGGAGAGAAGTTCCAGTTAAGCACTTTGTAAACATCTGAGGACTGATGTTGGTCTATGGTTCAACAGAGGTTTTTACTGGCCTTGATAAGGACAAGGAAGTAATTTTTCATAAAGCTAAATTGATTCAATTTGAAGGACTATTCTTTTTTATTTTCTTTATTGATTAAGGTATTACATATGTGTCCTCATCCCTGCATTGACCCCCCACCTCACCCCCGCTCATGCCCTCACTCGCCCCTGGTGTCTGTGTCCATTGGTTAGGCTTATATGCATGCATACAAGTCCTTTGGTTGATCTCTCCCCCTTACCCTTACCCTCCCCTGCCTTCCCCCTGAGGTTTGATGGTCTGGTTGATGCTTCTCTGTCTCTGGATCTGTTTCTTTATCTGAGATGATGTATTTGATTGATTTTTTAAATGTATCTTTAGTTGGCAAAATTAAAAAATAGCAACCTTATAGAAATTCCCAACATACTTCTGACATTTTCCTGATTCATTAAATTCAGTAACCGCTGGCCTAGTATAAAAAACACTAGGAAAGAAAGTGTGTATACTCAAGTCTGTGAGTATTGGGGGTAGCTGCAAGGGTAACAGAGGGACAGGACAGGTGGAGAGCACTGCTCCCTGAGCCAGGAGGCACCACTCCAACCACAGGAGTCCCAATAGGGGTGGCCTCCGTCACAAATTTTTCTTTTGGGGGCACAGCCTGCTCTCCTGTAATGGAGGAAAATGCTCAGACAACTGGCATGGTGTCTTCTTGCTCTAGTAGTCTCAGTTTGTGATATTTTTATAGCCTCCTGAGGCTGACAGTTAAACTGGAGATGCCTTTCGTATTTGATGTTCCTCTTCCTGCAGACACCGTCCTATAACAAATACAGCCTCAAACCCCGAGCAGCTGAGAAGCAGGCTAAAGAGATCCTGACCCGCCGCCAGAACACCTTACGCGAGAGTATGAGGAAAGGCCACAGCCTGCCGTGGGGAAAGCCGGTAAGGGTGGCCTGTAAGGTGGACACACCTGAGAGCTGGCTCATCCCAGGACAGGGCCTCCTGGGTGACTACCACTGACACTTAGACAAACAAAACCACTGCCTTGTTGGCAGAGAGATGCAAACGCAGTGGGGGCAGGACACATGCTCAGGTATCCCTCTTGGAGTCCAGGACCTTAGGAACCAAGGGCTCTCTCCTCCAGGAGGGGTAAGAGATTGCAGCGCACGTGCTGTGCTCTGAGTCTGGACCGGACTCCATGGCGGCCAGGACTGAAGGAGCCTGCACCTTCGGGAACCAGCGCCCCTGGCTCTAGGAAGCTTACCTCTTCCAGCGAAGAAGTTGTTTTAGCCAAGACACGTGGACCTCATTTCCATATTACCCGCTGTGCATCTGAGCTATTCCATTTGAGGCCCTATCAAAGCGACCAATGGATGCAGTTGGGTCTGCGGTAGACCCTCCTCTCCACCCTAATCTCAGTGAGGCTGTGGGAATAACTTTGAGAGATTTGTAATGGTCTATTTTATCATGACAAGGAAAGCAAATATACAGCATATTAAAGGCTGAAGCATTCTGGTTTTTTTAGACAAAAATAACTGAAAGCCAATGATCCCAGAAAGCTGCCACAGTATAAGTCTGTGTCCTTCACTTTGTTTGCCACGTGGAACTTCCAATCGCAGCAGCTAACTCTGCTTTTATTTCTGCTTGTTCCCTACAGGCCGGTGCCAAAAACATCCGCTACCTCT